TTAAAGAATAGAATTTGGGATAAACAAATAGACAGAATAATTTAACAAATTCTTAAACATGGGAAAGAACAACTGAATGCAAATAAGTGAAATCCAGAAAGAAATGTGAAGTGCAAGATTACTAAGAACATAAGAGATGTCTCTGTGTGCCAGAATAAAATAAACTCTTGTTCCACTTAAAATTAATAAAGGAAACTGGGATCTAGGAAGACTGAATGAGCAGAATTACTAAATTATGGCTTTACGTCTATCTTTGCCCAGACCAGAAAGGAAAATGTTGACAAGTCAGATAAAATGTCAGAATCAGCACAGAAGGAGCAAGATGATAGCAAGCTAAACAAGGTAAAAGAAAGACTAGCTTTTTATCTTACATCATACCTATTGGGGGATATTTCAAAACTCTATACATACAACAGGGTAGAAACTGGAGAAGATGTGAAATAGTCAAAATGCAACATTTGTCCTTATCCAAACTATGTCATCCAACTAAACAAAAAAACAAAGAACCATGATGTTGGAAACATGAAACACAAACAGAAATTGCTGGAAATACTCAGCAGATCTAGCAGCAAAGGTGGAGAGAAAGTAAAGTCAGTGTTTCAGGTCCAGTGACCCTTCTTCAGAACTGAATGGAGAACTAATTGAAAAGTAAAGAAAGGTCATTGGACTGGAAACATTAACTCTGCTTTCTCTTCACAGATGCTGCCAGACCTGCTGAGTTTCTCCAGAAATTTCTGTGTTACGTCATTTCTCAGACAGCTGCTAGCCTGTTGAAACAAAAACCAGCCAAAACCTGGTTGGCTGTCTTAGGCCCACTTGTCAAAATTGGATGGAGATGAATGGAGCATGACTGAAATTTGTCTCAGGATTCTTGGGCAGCCAGTTGAATTTTGTTTTTAACTGTGGAAGTTTTTGTTGTGGAGCTAGCAAGAAGCAGGAGTGTTTCCCCGCCTGACAGTATTTCTGATCAAGCCAACAACCCACCGCTCTTCCTTGGACCAGCTGCAGGGCACTACAGAAGAAGTAACCATCCGTACTAATTTTCTCGGTAATCTGATAATCGAGATAAATAACCAGCAAATACCTGTTTATAAATGTGCATTTTTTTAATGTTATTCGGGGAGTGTGCCAACATTTATTGCCCATCCCTAATTGTCCTTGAGAGGGTGGTAGTGAGCTGCCTTCCTGAATCACTGTTGTCCATTTGATGTAGGTACACCCAAAGTTATGGAGGGAGTTCCAAGGTTTGGCCTCAGTTACATTGAAGGAGTAGCGATATATTTCAAAGTCACAATGAGTGGCATTGAGGGGAACTTAGAAATGTCGGTGCTCCCGTGTATCTGCTGTTCTTGTCCTTCTAGATAATACAGGTTGTGAGTGTAGAAAGTGCTAGCTTAGGAGCCTTGGTGAATTTCTGCGGTGCATCTTGTAGATGGATACAACACTTCTGCTATTAAGTGCCCACGTAGGTCTGGATGTTTGTGGATGTGGTGCCAATCAAGTGGGTTACTTTGCCTTGGATGGTGTCAAGTTTCTTGACTAGTGTTTGAGCTGTCCTCATCCAGGCAAGTGGGGAGTAGTGCCTTATAGATGGTGGATAGGCAAAGGAGGTGAGGTACTCGCTGCAGGATTACTAGCCTCTGACCTGCTCTTGCTTGACACCCTTTTCAGGCGTGCAAACAGGCCCCAAGGAATTTGTATCCCAATGAATTAGTTTTGAAATGTAATGCCTGGTAAGTAGAAATGTTCAGCAACAAGTTATCAGGAAGATGGCCATCTTTTGTGGGTGGAGGTTTCAAAGGGATTCTTTGCTTCTTTAAATAGGTCCTTAACACTACAAAATAGGCTAGAGACCCATGTTTAAAGTCCTATCCAAAAGATTGCAAATCAGATGGTGTGGCAGTAGAATATCATCGTAGATTATGGGTTAAATTGACATTAACTATTATAAAGAAGTTTCTAAAAGAATAAGCGGGTGGTCTTGAAGTAAATACATACCAAGTATAAACAGCATATCCTCAGATTTAAAGTTAGCACTGGCTAATGTGAAAAGAAAAAACTAGCATTTCATGATGACCAGACATTTCAGCGCACTTACAGCCAATTCAGTACTTTTAAAGTGTAGCTGCTGATGTAATGTAAGAAATCGAGCAGTCATTTTGCACTGAGCAAGTTCCCGCATCACAGTATGATAATGGCCAATCTGGTAAAACTTCAACTGACATCAAATAATTCACGGATCTTTGAAAGGGTGAAATGCAATTGTTTGAAAAGAAAGTAAAACACTACAGCCAAATTTTTGTTGGATTAGGGAAGAATAGAGACAGATGACAGAAAAAGAAATGATATCGATATCAGACCTCATACTTCTGATCCCAACAGCAGGTTGGGACGAGAGCAAGGTGAGGGCAGTCTGCATCATTAATCGGCTGTATTTAGAAAGTTAAATAGCTCTCTCCCTTTCTAGGGTCCTGAAATTTTCATGAACGTAGGATGTCAACAGGAATCATGTAAAGCAGAACAGGATCACTCCCACCTTGGATGGCAGTTTATTTGTTTGAGAAAAGTTTTGAAGAAAATCTATCCTGCAATGATGACATTTTAATGTCATAAACATTTCCGTACCTTATTGTAGGTTCCAGGTCACTTCTGGCTGGGCAAATTTGAAGAATCAGACGCTTTTATTTGTGAAATAATGCGCAGTAGACAGCAATGGCTGCCGAATCAGGCCAAAACATGACTCATTCCTTGGTGTGTCGCCACTAATTGTCTGTCATTCCTGAATCTATCACCAAGAAACCTCTCACCTCCATCAAACTCAAAAGCTTTGTCTGTTTCTCTGTGAGGGCAGATTCCCAAACGGAAAATGAAGTTTCTTTCTGAATTCTGCATCCTCAGCTAAAATCTGGCCCCTGGTTCTTATGAGTGGATATGTTCTAAGAAAGTCTTTGAAATAATCCTTAAAGTTTTAACATGTGAGAAATTGCAGCTGCTTAACTTGCTAAAAAGAAAAGTCATGCTATTTATGTTGATGCAGTTTTTCAAAGATATATCTGGCTTGCTGGTCAAGAGAAATTTGGCTTAAATTGCACAGTTGGATTTTAATAAATCTTCTAATGAGCTATCATTGGCAACTTGCAATTACAAGCTAAGGTTAGGTGATGCTATTAATGCTGACAAGGAAATTTGAAAACAGTGAAAAAGAATTGAACAAAAATCAGGCACATTGAAACAGGGGTTAAAAGTAAAAACAGTTTGTCGAATCAGCGCTCACTTTTATAATTTAACACATTGGAGAAAGTCACAAAGCTTGAATAATTTGGCAAAGTCAGAGTTATAGTAAATAATAAAAACATAACCAAGTTTTTGGATATAGATCTTTTTGGTAACTGAACTTAAGAATCAAATGAGAGAATGTTTAATTAACAATGCACCAGCTCATCATAAACAAAATTTATTTATATGGTACCTTCAATGCAATAAAACATCACAAGGTGCTACAGAGCAATGTTAGAAAAATTTTGGCACCAAGCCATGGAAGGAAATTTTGGAGGTGATCTCGAGAGATTGGCCAAAGAGGTTTTAAATAGTCTGAAGGAATGAAAAGGAGGTAGAGAAGCCTAGAAAGGGAAATTTAAAGCTTATGCCTTTAGTTGCAGAAGGCACAACTCCCAGTGGTGGAGAGATTTAAAAATAGGAATTCTCAAGAGGTGAGAATTAGAGGTGCCTGGATATTGTAGATTGTTGTGAGGCTTGAGAAGTTTAGAGAGAGGGAGAACTGAGAATGTGGAGGAATTTGAAAAGTAAGATGAGAATTTTAAAATCAAAGCATCAATTAATCATGAGCTAGTGTAGATTAGTGATGGACGGACGAAAGAAAAACAGAAACTGCTGGAGAAACTCAGCAGGTCTGGTAGCATCTGTGGAGTGAATGTGGGGAGTTAATGTTTCAGGTCCAGTGACCTTTCAGAATACTGCAGAAGGGTCACTGAACCCAAAACATTGACTCCCCTTTCTTTCCACAGATGCTGCTAGAACTGATGAATTTCTCCAACAATGTCTGTCTTTATTTCAGATTTCCAGCATTCACGGTTCTTTATTGTATTTTATTGACGGACAGATTTCCAGCATTCGTGGTTCTTTATTGTATTTTATTGATGGACAGATATTGGATGAATGAGTTTTGGTGTGCATTAGAACATTAGGAACAAAATCTGAATGACTTCAGGTTTATGGAAAGTAAAACATAGAAAACCACCGAATATATGGGAGAACAGCCAGAAAAACTTGGCAAGAGGTGGATAGAATGAGAGAGAAGGAGAAAATACTTCCCCCTAACCGGAGGCTTAGCATTAACAATAAAGTTTGACTAGAACAATGAAAATTACAAATCTGAATTTGTTAGATTTTTGTTAGGCAAGGGTATTAAAGTGTAGGGAATCAAGATAAGTAGATGCAGTTAAGATACAGATCTACCATGATATAATAGAATGTCAGAACTGGTTTGAGAGACTTCTGTTTCTGTGTTCAAGTTTCAAAAGACACAAATTAAAAGTTAAAAATGAAGTGGAAGCAGGAAAGCCAACCAGAACTTCCTCCACGCAAAGAATCTTGAAATTACAAATAACAATGATGGGAAAGGTATTGAACTTGGTCACAAAAATGGAAACACATAAATGTGATTCTACTGAGAGGAAAATAAGATCTGATGTAAATGAGGCTATATATGGTTGGTCTGTGAAAACGTAACAAGCCTTTTTTATTTCAGTCCTGTGGTCTTTTCTGGTCCAAAATTTCTAAAGAAAGTGTACATGGTGTTGTATTCGGAAGAACAAGAAATGGCTAAGAAACCTTCATAGCTACAGAATGGAAGAAGTAGTAATTTAGTTAAAAGGGAAGACTTGACTTTTCTGCTATGGCAATTTTAACCATCATATTTTGTAAAGTTATTTTGTTGTAATGGATTTTATTGCCATGTTCTAATGGGTTTTATTTTTCAGGTTCAAAACAGTGAAGACAAGGTTGATAAAATGTACTTGACCCCACCTCCACCTGTGAAACAGTTCCTCATCTCCCCTCCAGCGTCTCCTCCAGTTGGATGGCATCAGATTGAAGATGCAACTCCCACCATTAATTATGATCTTCTGCGTGCAATCGCTACACTTGGTCCAGGTGGGACATAGCAATATCCATAGAGTAGCATGAAGTGATTATACTAAAGGTATAGTGTGTGTGTGTTCTAAGCTTGTGTTTTTCTAAAAAGGGAATCCCAAACTCATGTAAAAGAGCATTACACATATATAAATGAACCTAATCCCAAAACTAAATATGGTGGGGCTGCTGTTGTCAGTTTCAACACACGACTGAGACAAACTATCTCTCCAAAAGAGAAATAGATTCACCGGCTATTGACAAGAGTGTTCTAAACCCACAAAGCCAATTCAAACTCTATCAATCAGCAGCATTGGAGTGCAAATGCGCCTGGGACGTGGAGCAATACCTGCTTAGGTAGTCCACAATGTATTGACCATGAATATTTGTTGGTTGTAGCCACTTTGCAACAATAGGTTATATTTACAATTAATGGATGCACAAAGGTTGTAAATAATGGTCCAGATTTCCGCCATATCTGAGACTTTCTCCACCATGGCAAAAATGGTAGAAGATATTGGAAATCTGAAGTCCTGCCTCCAAGACTGGCATTTTCTGTTTTCGTGGAGACAGAATTTAAGATGGACCATGGTGAGGGGAGGGGGGGTGTGGGTGGGGGTGTGGGGGTGGAGTTGGAGGTGGAGGTGCATGAGGGGTTGGTGTTGTCAAGTGTCCTTTGGGTTTTTATAACTGTAGAGATTGTGTGTAAAAGGTACATAAAACCCTTGCGAATGTTCAACTTTTCAAAAAGTTTAAAAACATGTCAAAACCTGTCCCAGCAGTCAAAATGTATATTTATGAATGAGTGAATTTCTCAATAAAGTGCAGTCAGCAATATGGAACTTTAAGTCAGACAACTTTTTTTTCAGTATGTGTGAGTAATTAAGGATATGAGGTGAGTTGGCATGGTAGAGGAAGGGGGAAAGGGTGGAGGATGGAAGTAGGCACTAACTTAATATGGAGGGTATATGGAGTACAGCTAGAAAGATATAGCATTGCATAAATGGGGATGGGTAAAGGGGCATAGAGGTATGAGAGCAATGAGAAATAGGTTGAATTTTGTTAAACAGGTTGATATGGGGGATATATGAGAGTAAGGGATGATGGTTGGAGGAAGGTTTATATTTTATTGTTTTAATTTTATTTCAATGGCAGGCTTTTCACCAATCTTGGCTTGGGAGCTAACCACATCTTCAGCACCTCCCGAGTAACCTAGCTTGACTCCCAGTTCAATCCACCACTCTTAGACTGAAAATGGGAAGTGCAGGTGGTCATTTTTAAAGCAGGGCTCTCACACTTGTGTGTAGCCAATTTGAGAATGAAAATTGGAGCCAATTTGTGATCAGTGTGTGCTGTGTTTTCTTCTTAAAAGAAAGATTGTTCACTACCTTGAATGTTTTCTGAAGATTTGTTGTTAATCTATTGATTAGGAGCAACCTGCAACAAAACCCTTGTACCACAAGGAAGCATTCCAAAATGGGTTAGATTTGAGGTGCATTCAACTAACATCTGTTCTGAATGTAGCTACAAAACACCTGCTGTTGGATGTTGACCTAGCACACTTATAATTTCGGTGCTGAGGTGTAAGTTGTCAGCATTTGTTGGAGTCTGTTCTTTTCACAAAACAACAAGAAAAGGACTTACTGTCAAACATAATGCAATAAAGTAAAAGGATACAGATTTAAAATGTTTGAACAATACACAGTACTTTTTGTTTCATTTCCAATGCAAGTTTCATTTTGTTTCATTTCCATTACAAGTCACCTCTTTCATGACGTTATGGGCCAAATCTTTGAGTGTGGAGGCACATTTCTGTATGCATGGCCGTGTTTTGAATTTTTTGGAGGAATTCCAATTTTCCTTCAAACCACTCTATGGCAATACAAAGGAGAGTGGTTGTTGTTCAACAGCTCAGTTCCAGGACATCACTGTGGGACTTCCTCAGGGGAGCGCCCCAAGCCCAACTAAGAAGATTCAGCTATTTCATTAATGACCTTTACCTCTATACAAGTTTGGAAAAGGGGATGTTTACTGATGATTACACAATACTTAGCACCATTTGCGACTCTTCAGACATTGACCCACTTTATTTCTAAATGAAGAATGACCTGGAAAACATCCAGGCTTGGGCTGATAAGTAGAAAGCAACATTTGCACCACAGCAGCACCAGGCAATAGTCAGTTCTAATAAGAGAAAATCTAACTAATACTCTTGATATTCAATGGAATTTCTATTGCTGAATCTCCCACTATTGACAAGAAACTAAACTGGACTAGCCATGTAAATACAAAATCTTCAAGAGCAGGTCAAAGGCAAGGAATACTATGGCAAATAACTCCTCTCTCCACAGTTTCTGTTCACTATTTACAAGGCACATGGCAGGAGTGTGATGCATTGGACTCCACTTGCCTGGATGACAGCACTTCCAACAATATTGAAGAAGCTTGCCACCATCCAGCACAAAGCAGTCTGCTTGATGGCATCCCATCCACCACCTTGAACATTCATTCTCTTCACCACCAATGCATAATTGGTGTGTGCTATCTACAAGATGCACTGAGGTGACTCACCAAGTCTTATCTGACAGCAGCTCCTAAACTCATGACTTGTAGATGGGAGCTCTACTACATGCAAGTTCCCCTGCAAACCATACTACTAATACTGATACTACCAAACTAATCCTACTTTGGCGCCATATCACCTTCTTCACTGTCGTTGGGACAAAATCTTGGCAGTTCCTTCCTAACTGTGTTTGTCCTTCACCCCCTAGGATTGCAAATGTTCAAGAAGGCAGCTCGCTACCACCTTCTCTAAGGCAGTTAGGAACGAGCAGTCAAGGCTACATGAGCCAATGATGCCTACGTACCATCAATGAATCAGATCTCCCTCACTGTACTGTTTCCTGCCAACAATGCATTCCTTTATGCTTCGCCCCACTTAAATGGCTTCCTGTGCCACCTGACCGATGACCAAATCAGAAGTCGGTTAAGGAGTCCAATACCAAAGTTAATAAAGAGCAATTCTGAAGAAAAATCACATTGGAACTCAAAACACTAACTCTGCCTCTCTCCACAGATTCTCCCAGACCAGCTGAGCTTCTCCAGCACTTTCTGTTCCTGTTACAGGTTTCCAGCATCTGCAGTACTTTACCTTTTGAAGAAGAAGAGCAAGCCTAACTTGATAATGTCAACCGGAAAAATGAACACATTGAGGTCAGGCTATTAGAAATCTCAAATCGGTTTTATAGTCTTCTTTAGAAAAATACATCGTACAAATATGTCAGAAAAGAGTACAGAGAAGAACCAAGTAGAACTCTGGACTAATATGCTGTGGGACAGCCTTTGTCCTGTATTGGTATGCAATCCATATGTAAAGATCTACATTCTGAAAATTGTTACAGATTTAAACTGCCCTACTGCATGGTCCTTCTGAGAACTGCAGAATAAGCAGTTGCATTCCGTAGAGGCTTTGTCTTGTGCAGCTGCCAAATTTTCATGGCTGATAGCATTATTGGTTGTTGATCAGTCAGATGAATTCCCTGAATCCTCCTGTTAACAAGATGGGCTTCATTCATGAAATCTGGATTACTGCAGTACCTCCAGAAATTGTCAGCATTGTCACTGAGTGAAAGTGTAACTTGCAGCAGAGCGGGTCCTACAGGAGATTGCTTCAATAAGTTTAAAGTGCTGTTCCAATGCTTTGCTGAGTTTTTTTTGTGTTTGTTCATTTTACAATCACTGTGTAGATGATAGTTTGGTAATCCAAGCTCCTATCATGAAAACGTGTTTTGTGGTTGGAGCTGTTGGTGAAAAAGATTTTAATGTGATTCTGAATGAAGTGACTGCCTGCAACTGAAACCCATCATAACTTAAAACAAAAGCAGTGGTTAAGGATTTGTTATGAGGGACTGTTCGTTGGTAAACCCCGGATGAGTAAAAGTTCTTGAGTGAGTCTGCTCACAATATTACTGCTTCCAATCCACAGGCAAAATGGTAGGAATTGTCTTCCATGCAATATACTTTCCAGTGACAAGGAAGCACAAAAAATCCTTTAATCAATCCATGATCTAAAATCAGAAGCTAACTAACTACTCACTTCAAACAAGATGGCGGCTGAAGAGGAAGCTTCGGCTGGAGCTTGTCTGTTCCATCCATTTCTTTTTCTTCTTCTTTCTGTCTTTTCTGCTTTTTTTCCTTCTTTCTTCTTGCTGATGCCCTGAACTGCCAGCCTCAACATGGAGTTGGACTCTCAGGCTCAGCGCAGACCCAGCGAGGCATCCTCTCGACCACCATGTGGGGGTCTCTTGGTCCGGCACAGACTGGAGTCAAGGCCTGGCATGGACCCGAAGCATAGGTGCCAGCGTGGACTGGGTTGGAAGGACCGTTGTTCTGAACCTTTGATTTCTCTATTTTTTCCTTTGTTCCTATGAGCTGTAATGCTGGACTTCTTATTTCTTTATTTTTCTGTTTTTTTTCTAAGAACTTGTACTGAAGAATCTGTACCTAAGTACTTTGTACCTAAGATGGCACTGTAAGTGGTGACTTGTAAACTTTTCACTGTACTCATTTGTGTACATGTGGCAATAAAGCTAATTCAAGTGCACAAAATGGCACCCTAAAGACAAAGCTAGCTACAATTGGTCTTACAGTTGGATGACTGAGAAATTACTAATTTAGCTGGACAGGATCAACCAGCCTATCTGCAAGCTTTTTCCAGCAAGAAAGCAGACAGAGACTGAGGGCCCTCAAAAGGACTGGTACATCAGTAATAGGAGCAAACGACACAGACAAGCCACTGCATTGTCACGACAGATTCATTTTCAGTTCAAAGCCAAGAATAGCTACAGCTAGTAGGCAGTAGGCTGTCCTTGAAATTTGCAGACCATTAACAAATACACAGCGTGTACAAAACTATCCTTCAGAAGGATTAATACACACCTCTGAAACAAAACAGAGCATCATTAGGCAGCACTTGGGAATATCATTTGTGGACCATTTCACTTATCAATATATTTAAAATT